AATTTATATAATATATATATTAATAAAAAATAAAATAAAATATATATATATATATATATATATATATAATTTATAAATATATTAATATATAATTATATGTATATTAAATATTTAATATATAAGAAAAATAAGTATATGAAATATTTAATATCAATTATTAAACATTGAATAATTTCCTGAAGTGAGACACATTCAGAAGCTGATTATCAAAGCATCTGCAACCAATTTCAGAGAATAAAATCCAGTAAGTTCTTAACTTCTAAGCACTTAAAATGGACCAGATCGCCTAATAACTTTACAATAACAGATTTTATTGCTTTTTTGTATGTAATTGACTTGATTTATTTATTTTTATTTGATTGCATTTCACTGCAAGACAATTATATATTATAAAATATTCACTTTATTCACAAAATTCGTATAATCATTATGTTGAAGTTATAGTATCCTCGGCATTTATTGATTAAAACAAAAGCTGGGAGAGCACCTTGAATCATTTCATGCGCAAAGGTTCCCCAGCATAAAAAGCCGGCAAGGCTCTAGCATGAATAGCAAACTGAATTATTTGCGTAAGAAAATGTTCAGAGTAATAATCACCTCTCGTTTCTCTAAGTGGTCTGCTCACCAGATATCATAACTGCTAACGGAACAAAGATGTATTAAGAAACTAGAAGTTGTAGATGAATTATAACCTAAAAGTTCTGTTTATGTACTAATTTTAAATCCTGAGAAATCTACCACAGCGAAAAGAATTACCGGGGACCAGAAAACAACGCAACACCATTAAACAAATATTTCTTGATTGACTTGAAGGTCAAGTAACGAAAAAGATAAACATCAGTACTAAACGTACATTATAAAGGCGTAGAATAATAAAAGCACACTTTAAACAATTGTGAGACTGATAAGTGATAACAATCGCCGTCTTTTAACTCAAAAACAAGTTTCGTATTAAATGGTAAGCTCGCAGCAATGCACCGACAAATTATACTACCTTACGAATACTGAAGAAAGCTGAACAATCTAATGATAACGACATTTATTGCAAGAAAATCTTGAGTTTTTTTACATTTATCAACTGCATTTTACGTTCTTATGACAAAATTAGAAATAACTAAACGATCAAACGGTGATCAATTCTTGCCGGTACCAATGTAACAGATTTGTAAACATTAAGTTAATTTTAAGTGTCGATTTACTGCGTGCCCAGTACTGTAGAAAATCATCTCGTGTTTTAGAAGGAATGAAGTCCAGCATTATGTATTGGGGTAAACTAGCCTGCAGCAAAATATTCTCAGTGCTGAGAGGAAGCTTGTGAAAAGCAGTGAGACTTACGCAGGTTGTTACTGTACTTTGCTTGAGTCAGATTATTAAACAAGAGAAAAAGTAAAAAGGTTATCGATTATTTCTCAAAATAACTCTCAAGTACGGTGACAAAAGAGCACACAGTTCACTTAATTATAAGTGGATACTGTGGCCTATAGACATCTATGTCTATCCTCGATGAATAATCTAAGATAGAATGTCTCGTTTCCTGTAAAAGGATCTTCGGTTCTCTTCATCTACCATATGAAACAAAGCAGCCTTAAGCTGCTATTTTATGCTGGTATCCCGTAAGAGTGTGGTCCTTCCTCGTCGAGCCGGTCCATTTGTGTTACAGCTATGCGGCAGCAACAAGACCTTGCAACGGATACCAGTATTTTACCTATCTAAACATCTATCCAAAATGAGGATTTTTGGGTGGATATATAATTATTTATAATAATATACCCTGTAATAATACCGAGTTACTTTTGAACAAATTTAAGGCAAATTTAAAAAGCACCACTAAACAAATATTGTAAATTAGATAAATATTTAAGAAATAAGAATGCTTCGTCACAATGAGGTGAACATTGAAACTCCATTAATAATACGACGTGTATTTCAATTTTAAACGTGGCATCGGCGGGTGAATTTGACTGCGGTGGCTGACTGCTAAGAAGGTATATGGGATTAGTGGTGGCGAGGATAGTGTACGCAATTGGAGGAGGGTAGGAGGTATTCTTCGAACTATCTACACATATTATTTTATTATATTACGCAGATGATTAATTAATTATTAACTTCTATATATATTATGGATTACTGTCAACTAACGCGTGACATAATGTTTGTTTGTATACTACCAATATAAAGCCAGAAACGCTACAGCTTGAGACATGAACCGCGGTGCCGGCGCCAACATTCCGGCGCCGGCTGTCTCCACCTCTTTTCAAGTGAAACTAGCTCCAACAACATTTTTACTCATTAGAGTAAGCCCGAATATTTCCTTTAAAACCAAAAATAAAAGAAATTGAGGATATTTGTAACTTGATCCTAGGACCGCCATTGCTGGAGCACTTGCAGTGTACACAATTCGCGGACCAGTATTACACAAAATAAATAATAAATTATTTTCCTACAAACAAACGGCCTTATGAACGATGTTTAAATGGTTAAGGGATTGAAAGTTTCAGATCGATCGATGCAATATTTTATATAAATTAATATTCTCTCATTTTCGCCTATTCTCTCCAATTAAAGTTTTCACTGTTAACACGTTTCCTTCCGTAATAGCTGTCAAAGGGCTACCGCTCCTTTTGTCATCTCTCAAAGTTAGTCGACCGAGCTGCAATTTGTTATAGCGGCGTTACACGGTTGCCCTAGAGGAGTTAAGTGTTCGTTAATACCATTAGAAGACCATCCAATGATCCTTTCGGTTTTAGACGAGATTTTGAAGAAAATCATATATTCAATATCGCTAATAGATTAATAATAGAAGAGTTTTTTACATAAAATAATAGCTTTTTAAAGATTATGGGTAACAAACGAGCAGACAATCTACCTGATGGTAAGTGGATGCTGTGGCCCATAGATATCTATCTATATATTTATCATCGATTAAGAATCAAAATGCAGATGCATTATTACCCGTAAGGACTAAGACGGAATGCCTCGGTTCCAGTGAAAATAGTCTCCGGTTTTCTACACCATACGAAACACAACAAAATCATGCTGCTATTCTGTTCTCGGAGACCCTTTCCCGTTTCTCTACACTCCCCATACGAAACACTAATTAGTAGTGACATTAAGCTGCTATTTTACACTGATATTCTTTAAAAGTGTGGTCCTATCACGGTGAACCTATTCATGCTACATCTATAATATAGATGCAGCCTGGCTCTACCACGTATAAAAGTTCTTCTGAGGCGAACCGGAAAAAATGTTTCGAAAATTGGTTCGGATGTATGAAGCTTTGTATAGAAGCTAGTGGGAAGTGCTTTAAAAATATTTAATCTTTAATAATAGATTTTTTTACTTTTGCAAATATTTCTGTATGGCTGACGTATACTTGAGATATGCAAAATCATATTTTAACAATGAAATGAAATGAATGAATGGCGGCCTAAGGTATACCACCCATATCATCCCGTGGGTGTTTTAAGAAGCCACAGAGGAAAATGAAATAGGAGTTGGGGAGCAATATCTCCCAGATAACAACTTAATAATTACAAAATTACAATAAACAACCCTTTTACTGAGTGCGGCAATGATAACAGAAATCTTTACTGTGAGACATCTGTGGGGGAGGCTACATTTAGCAAAGGACTTGTGATGGGCTGTAATGCAAACAACTGCATTATTATAATAAACTCCCATATTTAGAGACTCACCTGCCATCGTAAGCACCCCCGAAGGATATAATTTCGTCTCTTAAATTAGATGAAGCTGCTTTCAGTTTAAAAAGCGGGGCGGGGGATGATAGAAATTGAATAAAACTATATTTACGGATTTTATCGCGTATCCGTAAATACAGTTTTATTCAAAATCCTTTTATTTTTCAGGAGATACTGTGCGAATCATTTGTACCCACGGTAGCAGTAGAATTGTTATGAAATATTGATAAGCCAAACAACTGTTTTACAATATTTTGTTGTTTTTATACGCATTCGTAAACTAGTTTTATATTTATTTTTTCTATCGTTTAGTTATATAGTGTCTATCGTAGAGTTTAAGCTGGCAGCCCTAAGTGCAATCTAAAGCAAATGTTACGTGACCCTTGGATAACTTTCATTGTAACTGTTCAACGGATTAAGGTTCAAAGCAAAGGTGCTTGGTTAAAATGTGTGTCAATCCAATGCGCTAGATCGGGCCGGCGCAGACTTAACGATGTAGCGGGATCGGGTCTTAAAGTTTACGCTCCGCGGCCACGGTTCCACCTGTTAGCATGCTCTCGTTTCAAATTTGTCCACAAACTGCGCCATTTAAATATCTATTTGTTCTGCTCGATGTTCCCTAAATGGTGTCTTACTTGGACAAGGTTACATTTGCAATTGAATATTTTACACAGATTAGAAAGTTACTTTAAATATTATACTTTTTATTAGTTGCCATTTACATAGGCAAATTAGATAGGCGAAACGGCACTTATACAAGTATGTATTGACTTTTATAATTAATCTATTTAAAATATATAACAATAAATAATAAAACATTTATTAGAAATAGATCGAGGTAGAAAGAGATAGATCTAAATAGTCTATTAGATCTATCTCTTAATTGTTCAAAACGCTTTAATAAAAAACTATTGTATGCATATTTACTAGGAGCCTCAGTCTATGAGTCCTTCTGGGCAGCTATAGCGGTGCGAGTGCTGCCGTTCTCCGGGCTGGAGGGCATAGAGAGCCAGTACCTATAATCACAGACTATGAGGCATTCCATCTTAGTCCTTACAGGTTTAAACGCACCTGTGTCCTTCGTTATCTGAAGTTGGATGCTGGTGTCAACAGACTGCAGCAGCCACTCACCATCAGGTGGACTACAAGTTTGTTTGTCACTTCATTTTTAAAAATAATCATAAAACAGAATATATACTTGATATCTAATATATCAAATTTATTTTCTATAATTCCGCCAACTATGAAAACATTTTTTATCTGCACCTTTTCTTAACTCTTTATTTCGTATGTTAAACTCACCGAGCGCAATCAGCAGCACGAACGCCGCCTCGAAATGCATCATGTAGGACTAAAGTTCACAAAATATCAACTAAGTTAAAATATCCCCAGCTCAGTAAGCACGTCTGAGCCGACGCAAGGCACGGCGCGAGACTGACAGCGCGGAGACGCACGCGCTGGTTTTGCTGCTCGCACGCATCCCGCCATCTTCACGCCTTGACGAAACAAGGTATAGATAGTTAAGATGAATCTCATGACACTGAAAATCATAAACTGGCCATGTCCTCTTATCCATGCAATAAAAATACAGATTCCATTACAGCCTATAAAAGTCCACTGGTGAGCATAGGAATCCCTTATATTGTCTCATAGAAATGATTTAGCACAATATTTTTAATTGAATAAGGGTGACAAACGAGCACACAGTCCACCTGATGGTAAATGGTTCCTGTGGTCCATAGACATCTACATCTATCGTCAATTTAGAATTGAATTTCCGAATGTGTTCTCACGCCTGAGGACTAAGATGGATTACCACACGAAAAACAGCAGCATTAAGCTGTATTGTTATGGTGTTATTATTACGATAGTATTATATGAGAGCATGGTTTTACCCTGGTCGAGCCATAATATAGATGCTGCATGGCTCAACCACGTAACTAAAAACATCATGAGGATATCTGTATGGATGAAACACGAAATATGACACTCCAACAGAGTGGCGAACTAATAATAGGAGACTTTTACTCTAAATACTCTAAAGAAGCAGTCAGTTAAAATGGAGGGCTGCTTTACCCATAACTCATAAAACTGATAGATTCCGCTTGCGAACTGACTGACGACTGCTACGCTGAAAATGCAAATGCAGAGAAGGTATGTCTCTCGCGAACAGACATGCGCTGTGTGGGATTAAATAACACTGTTTTAAATATATGTTTAACCGTGTAGTGGCGGTGTAAAATTATCCACTGCCCCACATCGTCCGGTGCTGTCGTAGGAGGCGACAGAGGGGAGCCAACCAGGAGATGGGCGGCAGCGTCTTTATGATTATAAATAATAAAACTGCGGTTGACTTCCAAGCGTAGTAAAAACTTATAGGCGTAGGCCTCCTCTCATTTCTGAGAGGATTTTAAGACAAGGAAGTGTCCGCCGCGCTGCGCCAACGCGTGTTGGCGAACCTGACATGTCTTCGAAATATCGTGTTTTCTTATTTATGAAACATGTAAGTTTCTTCACGATATTTTCCATCACCGCCGAGCACGTAGTAAATCATCACTTAAAATTGCAATTAACAATGTCATAGGTGCCGGCGGGATCGAACCCCTTTGAATTGAAATTTACAGCGAGCACTTAGCCCCTGAACTAACACGGCCCTTCAAGCGTTGTAACTATTGCAAATGTGGCAATTTTACTGGAAACGAGGCATTCCGTCTTAGTCCTCAGTGGTAAACATACCTGTGTTTTGATTTTTAATCGAGTATAAATGCAGTCATTCCAGGTCAATCTGGTGGATTGTATGTTCGCCAGCTCCTGAGCTAGCACAGCCCTTGATTAGTTACTACAGCTGAACGAAACTCGAAAATCTAACTATCTTATTCTACTTCTGGTCAATTCCTATCGTAGCTCTTACTCACACCCATCATTACAGAGGGAATACCGAAACAAGCGCTGTGACTTTCACTTGCTTGCGGGAATTAATTTGTATAAAGTTACATAACAATATTACCATTAGTAATTACTCACAAGTACAGAATGCCGGGGCATGTTACTCATTTGTTGTCAATTAAGGGCATATTGACTCAGAAGCATAGGCGTTTAACTGCGGTACTACGGGTCTCGGATTGGAATCCCGTATGAAATAAACATTTGCACGGTCTACGAATAATTGTTCCAGGTTTGGAATCCAATCCAAACTTTGGATGGTCGTCTGTATGCAATTTACATAATACATATATAGCGTTACGCCAAGATCCTGTAGAACCCAAAAAGTAGCGTGCTACTCCAAGCACATATAGCTAAAAAAATATGATTTTATATGAAAAATTGCGAAATTACTGATAAGTATCCAATCACCTACACACAAATTTAGTATCCCATTAGTAGTCTTTTACGACATGTTTGGCAAGTTGGTGCATTCTCTTATATGCAATTTACGTAGGGTAAAGAGCACGTTTAATCAAGCAAATATGGATTTATTTGAAATTGTGAAAGAATTGATAGGTGCCTAGTTCATCGCCTACACAATAATTAACCTATTAGTCGCCTTTTACGATATGCTAGCCAAGTAACACAAACACTGTCTCTCAGGCACATTCTCTTATGTAAAACGCCTTAACCGTAACATGAATAATACATAGCGTGATGATTAACTGCCTCGTTAATCTGGTGGTCGTAAACGCTGCTGCTGATATAATAATGTTACGATCTTAGGGTTCGTGACAATTAAAATTACCTAAATCAACACCTTAATTCACTTTGCACTAATTAAAATTTAAAGCACTAATAATTAATCACACTAATTCACTTTATTCCGCTCCGAAGCTTCGCTTGTCCCGCCAAATTCAATACTTCCCCGATCGCATCTTGCAGCGCCTATAAATACAAATTAGCACCGAAACATCCAGAATATTCAAGTAAACACGCACGAGGGGCCGAGAGTTCGAGTGTCGACTTCTAGAAGCTTAGTTCTTCGTTCCGAGACTAGATGGCGCTGTCGGTTGAAAGATTAGTGATGTCATTTTCTGGAAAGCTCCCTCGCTCTAGTCCCTGACACTAGATGGCGCTAGTGCCGGGTACATCACGTCAACTTAGGCGCGCAACAATAATAATAAATAACAATTTTATTACATTTCCAATTACACATGTTTAAATACAGGAACAAATAGGATTTCAATTAAATAAAGTAACAATGAGTCTAACAAAAATAACATGCAATAATAACAATTAAAACTATGCGTAGCTTAATAATGTAGAATCTACAAAATAAAAATTTAAAAGTCAAGTTTGTATTTTTTACGTGGTAGAGCCATACTGCAGTTATATTAGTAGTGTTGCGCGGCTAAGTTGACATCTTGCAATAGCGCCATCTAGTGTCGCGTAACAGAGCGAAGAGAGAGCTTTCCAGAAAATGACATCACTAATCTTTCAACCTACAGCGCCATCTAGTATCGAATTGAAGCCCCAAACTCGAACTTTCTGCGCTTGGTCGGTTGGCGCGCGTATTTACTCGAATATTCTGGAATATTCTGGATGTTTTCGTGGAAGAGCCCTATATAAAGGCGATGCAAGGTGCGATCGGGGAAGTATTGAATTTGGCGAGACAAGCGAAGCTTCGGAGCGGAATAAAGTGAATTAGTGTGCTTAATTATTGGTGTTTTAAGTTTTAATTTGTGTAAAGAAAATTAAAGTGTTAATTTAGGTAATCCTATCGGCAATTTTTATTGTCACGAACCTCAAGCTCGTAACAGTAGTATAGTTGTAGCAAGAATGGGTCGGCTCGACCGGGGAAGGACCACGCTCTCGCAGGATACCAGCGTAAAATAGTAGCTTAATGCAGCTGTGTTTTGTATGGTGAGTGTAGAGAACCTGAGACCCTTTTTACTGGAAACGAGGCATTCCCTCTTAGTCTTCACTAAGTAATACTAGTCCTCGTAATCGAGGATAGATGTAGATATCTATGGGCCACAGCAACCACTTACCATCAGGTGGACTGTGTGCCTGTTTGTCACCCTATCCTACAAAGAAAAGCTACCTGCCTGAACTAGGTTGAGTACCTGTGTTTCAGGCCATCACTTACAGTATGGGTTTTAATAATGTAGGACACTAGATAATTCAAATAATTAAACTGTATTATATATTAAATAAAATAACTAAATAACAATTATTTGTTTCCTACAATAATACAAACCATTAAAGATTTCTAAAAACTTCTCTATGTCTTCGTGATTTAATTTGTTCAGATATTCCATTACAATTATATTACATGTCTTTACACTATGTAGCTTAACTGACTTGTTGAGCTTGTTATATAGAATGGTCTTAAAAATTATACTTTTTTATAGACGAGAGGTAAACGAGCATGAGGCTTGCCTAATGTTAAGTGACTACTACCGCCTACGAACAACGGCAACACCTAAAGAATTGCAGGTGAGTTGCCGGCCTTTGAGAAAGGAGTAAGCTCTTTTCTTTAAGATCCCTAAGTCGTATCGTTCCGGAAAAATCGCCGGTGGTAAACACTTCCACAGAGAAGTTGTACGAGGAAGAAAACTCCTAGTAAAACGCACAGTGGTGGACCGCCAAGCATCCAGATGGTGAGTCGATCCAGGCGTTCGTGAAACTTGGTGGCAGAAACTAATCCGAAAAATTCCTTAGAACACTCCCTGCGGTAGATACGATAAAAACGTGAAGGGGTTCAACATCTCTACGCAGCGCCAGTGAATCAAGCCGATCAGAAAAAACTCGTTAGTCGATGAATCGAATTGCTCTGCGCTGGATGCGGTCCAGTGGAAGGAGCTGGCACTGGGGCACGCGAGGCCAAACTTGCGTTTTGTAAAGTTGCAAGCGATGTGCCGGCATGAAATAGTCTCGATCTGCTGAGCACGCCAAGCTTTTTAGAGACCAATTTGGCCTTCTCATCCAAGTGACCACGAAACTGCACACTATTCGATATGTCGACGCCGAGGATTCCGATGCTAGATGAGGCGGCAAGTGGAGTGCCTTCAAACTGAGGAAATACGACAACGGAGTTCTTTTTAGCAGTGAACGCGCAACTTGTGTCTTCTGGAGATTGAAGTGGACTAGATTTCATCATCATTCATCATTACAGCCCTTCACAAGTCCACTGCTGAACATAGGCCTCCCCCAAGTAATGCCACAAAGCACGGTCCTGAGCCACCTGCATCCATCGACTTCCTGCATGTCTTACCAGGTCGTCACTCCATCTAGTGGGGGGTCGCCCTACACTACGCCTACCGGTACGAGGCTGCCACTCGAGAACCTTTCTTCCCCATCGGTTATCGGTTCTTCGAGCTATATGGCCGGCCCATTGCCACTTCAGCTTAC